ATGGGTGGATCTGACATGGTGGGACATGGATGGGTGGATCTGACATGGTGGGACATGGATGGGTGGATCTGACATGGTGGGGCCGCAGCCAGTGAAAGGAAACCGTGCCTAAGCTGTTGCCTGGAAAGCAGACCTGCTCTGTCACCCGATGCACACGCACAAAATGTTAAGTCCCCAAATTAAAAACGCACGTATGGGATCAGGTATCACTCGTCAAAGACCCAGAACAAAAAATATCAGATCAATGTGAATGAGGGGGAGTACAGAGTGGAGGCCCAAAGCCCATCTGTAGATAATCGGACATCCCCTTACAGAAGGGTCACAGGGAAGAGACGAGTCAATCAGGGTGCAGTACAGCACCCCGAAACATACAACTTTCCTCTAGTTCTTTAATGCTTCCTCCACCCACCCACCCCCAGTCCCATGACCCCAATTCTACCTTACACATCCGGCTGGACCAGAGCATGTACACAGGTACAGATAAGAGCTGGAAACAGGGAATCCAGGACAGATAAACCCCTCAGGACCAATAATGACAGTAGCCATACCAGGAGGGGAAGGGGAAGGTGGGGGAGAAAGGGGGAACCAATCACAATGATCCACATAGAACCCCCTCCCAGGAGGACGGCCAACAGAAAAGTAGGTGAAGGGAGACTTCAGTCAGTGTAAGACATGAAAAAATAATCATTTATAAATGATCAAGGGTTCGTGAGGGAAGAGGGAGGGGGAAAGATGAGAAGTTGATACCAAGGGCTCAAGTAGAAAGAAAGTGTTTTGAAAATGATGGCAGGGGAGGCAGGGAGCGAGGGGGAAAATCTGAGGAGCTGATACCAAGGGCTCGAGGAGAAAGCCAACGTTTTGAGAATGATGATGGTAGCAAATGCACAAATGCGCTTGACACTATGGATGGACGTATGGATTGTGACTAAGAGCTGTATGAACCCCCAATAAAATAATTAACACACACACACACACACACACACACACACACACAACTGCATGCACATGTGCCACCAGGCAGTTCAGGCTCCAGAGGCCAAATGTGTCCCAGGCCCGGCAGTCAGAGGGGATGGGTACAGGGGTGGCTGGAATGCCTGCAGCCCAAGTGGAGGGGCTCCCTTTCAGGGCCCCTGCTCCCCAGCCTCCTCCACCACCCAGGGAGCCAAGCCCGGGGATGACACAGCTTCCTGTCGGATAACACTGGTGTCCTCTCTGGTGTGGCCCGTCAGCTTTGCCTGGGTTTCCTCAGAGCCTGCCACGCAGGAGGGTGACTAATGGGGTGGGGGCGGGGGGAATGAGCATGGGGTGGGGGTGTGGGAGTGGTGGGGGATGGTTTGGAGGTCACAATGCTAGGTAAGGTATGTGTGTGTGGGGAGGGACCCTGCCCAGTGCCGAGGCCTGCCTGCCACTGACCCATGTGGACTTGGGACAGTGCCCTGCTGCCCCATGCCATGTTTCCTAGTGCTCATCTCCCTGGGACCCTGGTGAGGGCTCAGGCGTGGTCCCCCCAGCACATGACCTCCACGTCTGCCAAACGGGGCAACAGGCTACCCGGTTGAGGAGCTGCCACCAGCCCTTTTTGGGTTGTCAAGGGCCATTCTCTGGGCCCTGGGAGACCCCCTCCCCGGTGGCTGTGTCCCCAGGGTCTTGTCCCCTCTCCCCCAGAGGTGTGCTCTGTTGTGATGCCCCCCCGCACCCGTGTCCCTGCTCGCCACATGGGAGGGGCTCCAGCTGACCAGTTCTGCCCACAGACACTACTTCTGAGGGTCTCAGGGGCTCCAGGCTATGCTCAAAGGACAGGGGGCCAATGACAGACAGGGCAGAGGCTGCTCCACCTGAGAGTCTGTGTGTGTGTGGGGTGTGTGTGTGTGTGTGTGTGTGTGTAGTGGGGAGTTCCAGCAGAGGGTGAGGGGAAGGCAGAGATACGAAGCAGGTGCAGCCTGCCCAGGGCAGGGGCTTGGCCGTGTGTGTGTGTGTGTGTGTGTGTGTGTTTAAATCAACAGAGGCTGGACCCTTGAGGGGCCTGAGGAGGCCACAGCCCAGCTGCTCGTGGTCCCTACAACAGGACATCTACAAAAACCAAGTGATGCAAGCCGTGGTCCACCATGGGGAGGGGCAAGTGGTGGTGTGAAAAGAGGGATGACAAATGTCAAGGTGTGTGAGGCAGGCGGGAGGAGGGTAAGCTCCAGGTGTCCTTTAGCGAGTGACCTTCAGAGGGTCTGGGTCGGCTCCCCCCCTTCCCAATATGCATGGCCTTAGGCATATGATCTAACTACAGGAGGCCTCAGTTTCCCCGTGTGCGGTGGCGCTCAGGGCAGTGCTGCTGTGAGAGAGAGCACTCGCTATCTGTGTAAAGCAGGGGGCACCCGGCCAGCCCGCTGCCGGACCCCACCCAGAGGGGCTAAAATGGGGGGTCCTGGGGCTGTGGGGGCTGCAGACCAAGAGGAGAAGAAGAGGCTCGGGGGAAGCCCAGAGGCTGGGGAGGAAAGGGAGGAGGAGGAAGAGAGGGCACGCCTCACTTCCTCTTGTCACCTGTCTGTCTCCCAGGGCTTTGTGGTGTCCACGCCTGAGTCCCTAGAGCTTTTGAGCGATTAGGCGCCTGGCATTCTCATGGAAGGCAGGGACGGCCCTAGTCACAGGGCTCCTCCAGAGTCCGGCCCAGACCCAGGGCTCACCGGCCCCGCCTCAGGGTTGAGATGAAGCTCGGAGCAAGAGGAACCCTCCCTCCCTCCCCAGGAGCTGACTCAGGGCACCCCAAAACAGCACAGCCACAAGGAGAGGGGTGGTCTGGGGTGAAGGGGAGTTCCTGGAAATGCAAGAGAGGGCGGGCACCTAAATGGGAAGGAGGTGAACGACAGACCCTTCCATACGTGAGAGAAACACCTCCCAGGTCAGTAAGCACCCACAACACACACAACAAGGAAGGAGAAGAGTTGGAAGACGGAGCAGGGATCCAGAACGTGTACTAACAGACTGCCAGGAGCATCTTCAGAACCAGTAAGAGACGATGGTCTTGGGCGAAGGGCGGTTCCAGGGGTTCCGGATGGTTGAAATGGCAAACAGGCACAAGCCCCACCCCAGACCCAGGCGGAGGCTTCCAGAACCTGGACCAGGAAGAAGGCAGCGATCCTCAGAAGGACCTGCCTGGGCCCCGGCAGGCAGGAGGGAGCCAGGTGGGGCTGCATGGTCAGGCTTCCTTCTATGGTACGGCCCCCGTCCCTGCTGCTGTGAGTGGGGACTCCACTTAATGGCAGTGGATTTGGGTTTGTTTCTATTTTTGGGGGGGGGGGGTTCCCCTTGGCAGGAGGTGAGCTTCTTTGCCTCCTTCGGGCACAGCATCTGTGCCAGGCCCAGGGAAGGGCCGCCCCTGGCTTCTCCACCAGGAAACCCCGAGACTGAAGTCGAATTCAAAGCCTTCCTCCAAACTCCAAGCAAGCAAATCCACTGCCACGGAATCGGTGCCGACTCAGCGACCCTAGGAGACAGGGTAGAAGTGCTCCGGTGGGTTTCTGAAGCGGCAACTCTTTACAGGACTAGGAAGACAGGCCGTCCCCAAACTGCTGACCTTGCGGTTAGCAGCCAGACACACAACAGCCATGCCACCAGGACCCAAGAGAAAAACCTCAGTGGGCAAGGTGGGGGAGAGAGAAAGGAGAGGATGCACAGCTCACTCACACATACCCCAGGCACCCCGACCCGCCTGTCTTAGACTGGATGGCACCCCCACCCACCCAAAATAGTGGCCCCTATACCAGCAAATAAGGATCCCCAGTGGCTCAGAAAGGTAAACACTGGGCTGCTAACCACAAGGCTGGCAGTTCAAACCCACAGGAGAACGAGGAGGCCACCGGCTTCTATAGCAGGCACCCTGGCGGTGTACTGGGCTACGCATTCAGCGGGCTCACTGCAAAGTCAGTGGTTGGAAACCCCCAGCTGCTCCCTGGAAGAACAATGAGGCTTTCTATTCCCCTAAAGAGTGACAGTCTCAGAAACCCACAGGGGCAGTTCTATCCTGTCCGGTAGGGTTGCTATGCGTCAGAATTCACTTGATGGCAGTGAGGTTTAAAACAAATCTTGTTTCTAAAAAATTTTTTTAATGGGACAGCCCTGTGCTGCCTGACAGCAGAACGGACTCGATGGCAGTGGGACTTACCCCTGCGAATAAGAAGCCCTGGTAGCATAGCAGTGAGAGCCCTCAGCTGCTCATCCCAAGATCAGCAGTTCGAACCCACCAGCAACTCCAAGGGAGAAAGATGAGGCGGCTCGCTCTATAGAGATCCACAGTCTTGGGAAACCCCTGGGGCCAGTCTACTCAGTCCTCTGGGCTCCCTGGGGGTCAGAAGCCCAGAACAGACTCAGGGGCGGTGGGCTTGAGTTACGACAGAAAGACCCCACATGGGTGGCTCTAAAGAACTTTACTTCCTCAGGGCTGAGGAGGCCAGAATGCTGAACTCTGCTGGGGGGGTTGTGGGCAAGACTGTAGCCATTTTTATCCGAGCCAGCCCTGGGTGAAGCAGGATCAGATTCACGATCCATTTCTCGCTGAGTGTTCTGACTGTCCCACAGGGTTCAAGCCAGTGTGGAATGTTAATTACTGTTTGAACCCTGGGAGAACCAGGATGACCCCTCCAGCTTCCCTGGTCATTCTGTGAGATGGATAAGATGATGAATTATAGTGCTCTCCTTTCACGGACTCGCTGTGTGTCCCGCGCCCACTGTGTTTTATGGCTGTGTCTACCCTGCGATGCGGACCCGAGATTGGGGGAACAGCATCCCTCTCTGTGGTCCCTGCCTCTTTTCAGCTTCTGTTTCGTGGAGATCTCCTGATGGAGTGGCATCTCTCTCCCCACTCCCTCTGCTCGACCAGTTCCTTTGATCTTCTGAGGAGCCCTGATTGCACAGTGGCTAGCCTTAAGGCCGGCGGTTTGAACCCACTAGCGGTGCTGAGGGAGAAAGAGGAGGCTGTCTGTGCCTGTAAAGATGTGTAGCCTTGGAAACCCCATGGGGGCGGTTCTGTTCTGCCCTGTAGGGCTGCTATGGATAGAGGCAGCGACTTTATATACGAGACTGACTCAAAACACACCCAACACCAATCTTGCTTCATTAATGTGACCACAACCCACTCCCACGTCATGACAACCACAGGCTTTCTGGGGGAGTCAGGATTTACAGCACATGATGATGGCCTGAAAGTGCCATGAGAACGATGATGGCAACCTATGTACAAATGAGTTTGATACGGTGTGGACTGATGTATGGATGGTTACAAGCACTGTAAGAGCCCCCAATTTAAAAAAAAAAAAAAAAGAGGAAGCCCAGGAACACCCCACCCCGCAGCCAATGAACAACAGTAATGTCCCTGCTCCTGTTACAGGGAAACTCAGGGCATTTTTTGTTGTTTTTGTTACATCATCAGTCACATGTCTCCCTTACAATGTTGCAGCTGTTGACGTTATCCGTCTCAGGTGGCACAGACCACTGAGCATCGGGCTGCTCGCTGAAAGGTCTGGGGTTCAAACCACCTGGCCTCTCCAAGGGAGAAAGAGGTGGCCATCTGCTCCTGTACAGGTTTACACACTCAGAAACCCAACCGGGCAGCTCTCCTCTGTCCGGCAGGGTCACCGTGAGCCAGTATGCGATGGCAGTTGAGTCTGGGGTATTGTTGTTTGGTTTGGTTTGATCATTCTGGAATGAAGTGTTTTGATAAAGATACTGATCATCCTGAAAGCTAAACAACAACAATAGGTTCTCAACTTCTGGTAGAACTGACGATAGAGTGGTTCTGTATAGCAGGATGTCAGGGACCACCTGTGCTTTACTCATTGGTCTTATTTATCTGTCGCCCCTTGAACCCAGCTCCCCGAGCACAGAAGGCTTTGATGTGGCTCCCCCAGGCAACCCCAGAACCTACAGCAGAGCCAGGCAGGCGCCTTGCGGGCTGTAGTAAAAGTCTGTCGAATGAATGAATGAACCAAGAAACCAAGATGAAAAAAGAAGCAACGCCATGTGGGGGAATCTTACCATCAGGGAAGAAAGCCTAATAAAAAACTAAAAGGTCTGGCATCTCGCTGATGAGGATGATGAGAATGACCAAAAGCGCCCCCACTCCCTTCAGCCCCCATTCATTAAGCGCCCACTCACTGCGAGTTTGCCCAACGCTTTTATTCAGATTTTACAACCACAGCGCCTGGGTTTTGAGGGCCAAGCGCATGCTTTGAAGTTTTAGCTCATTTAATCTTCACAAGGCCCAACCTTCAAAACACCAGGCACAGTTAAACAGAGAAGGGAAGGAGGTTAAGGGTGGAAGGATGAGCACTTACTGCCCCTTGCACCCTGCACTGCCCCACACCCCCTCAAGGTCATGTAGGAGGCACGGCTAGTCAGACTCAACCCCCCACCAAACCTGTTGCTGTCCAGTGGACCCGATTCAGGATGGCCCTCTGTTACAGAGCAAAACTGCCCCACAACATCACCTTGACTATCTGTCTGTCATTTTTAAGGCAATGGATCCTTGGGCTTCGTTCCCGCAGCACGCTGGGAGGAAACATTTGTGCCACTGTGGTAGTTAGATAATTTTATGTCAACTTGGAAGATAGATAAAATCATAGGGGTGGTATTCAGCCTGTCAATCAGGTCACAGCTTGATGGCACCTCCCTGTGGGTGTGGCCTTCTCATAAGCAGGGTCCTGGGAACCTCCCCTTCTCTCTCTCTCAGCCTTCACCTTCCTGCTGGCTGACCCCATGGCTGCCAGAGCCACCACCATTGGATCCACATGACTTTGCACCCACCGGCCTGTGATCTTCCTGCATTCTGCATCATTGCATGTGGCTGCGTGAGTCCTGAAGAGGGAGTTAGGATTAGTCTCAGACTTATGGGCTTGAGTTGGACTAGGCGGGATGTTTCCTTGACATACAATTACTTTCTGAGATAAAGCTCTTTCTTAAACACTCGATTTGTTTCTCTAGTCAACCTGGCCTAACACAGCCACCCAGGGCCCTAACGTAGTCCTACTTCAGAGGTTATGCACCTGCATAACTGGAACGTCAGCAGTTCAAAACTACCAGCCGCTCCTTTGAGAAAGATGAGGCTTTCTACTCCCATAAAGATTCACAGTCTCAGAAACCCACAAGGGTAGTTCTACCCTATCCTAAAAGGTTGCTAAGTCGGAATTAACTCGATGGCAGTGAGTGAACATTCTAACTGGAATGTTTTCCCAGACTAGTGAGACAGGCTTATTTCTTTTGTTCTCCCATCACTCTATTCCTCTTCCTTCCCTGACTCATGTTTTTGTTTTGCAAAGTAGGGATTCTTACTAGTTGACTCCACCCCACTGACTGCCATCCAGTGGATTCTTCCGAACCAAACTCACGGCCATTGAGCTGATTCTGACTTATAGTGTCCCTATGGGACAGACAAGAACTGCCACTGTGGCTTTCCGAGGCTGTCACTCTATGGGAGTTGAAAGCCTCATTTTCTCCCCAGGGAGTGGCTGATGGTTTCTAACTGCTAACCTTGTGGTTTGCAGCGCAGAGCATAACCCACTAAGTCACCGGTCAATTCCTATTCATTACCCAAACCCACTGTCAATTCCGATGTCTAGAACTTTATATCGGTTTTCCAAGACTGGAAACCTTTAAGGCAGCAGACCGCCTCGTCTTTCCCCTGAGGCACAGCTGGCGGGTTTGAACCAATGACTTGGTGATTAGGAGCCCAACGCCTAAAATCCATGGCGCTGCCAGGGCTTCTTCACTCATTACATTATATTAAAAATTTATTTTTGGACTCTCGTACTAAGAGGCAAGCTTCACCGAGGGCAGGGATCTTGGTCAGTCTTAGGGCACAAGTGCCTAGAACATAATAGGCGCTCAACAGATGTTTGTCGATTGAATAAGCGTCTCTTTACAAAGGAGGAAGCCTAGTGAGTGGCACGGGTGGATTCAACCAGGAGGTAAGCCTTCAGTAAACACCCAGTAATAACAGTCATTACCATAATTACTGATCGCTTACTCTGCGCTTTAACTGAGTTATCTCGCTCAGTGCTAACACTCAGCCGCGCGGCCCACACAGTTAGCTCTACCCGACACAGTGAGGTCCCCCCCCCCCGTGAGTAACAGGCGCAAGCAGGGTTCGAACCCAGGTCGCAGGCTTGTTCTGCGAGCCCCACTCCACCCCCGGCTCCAGGGCCCGGCGCTCACCCCGGGACTTGGGTCGGGGGCGCGCGCCCACAGCTCCGCCACCATTTCCGTGTGCAGAAACTCGAAAAGCGCCGCGTCCGCCATACACCCGCCTCGCACGCCCACCCGCACGCCGACGCCCCTTGCTCTCATTGGTCCGCCTGGCCAGGCCCCGCCTCCCGAAGCCCCGCCCGCGTCCGCCTACTCCCGTTTCCATTGGTCTTTTAGACTAGCCCCGCCTCTCAGGGGGTGGTACTACTCTTTTTTTTTTTTTGTCCATTGGTCTCACGCGGTTTCAAGTAAGGGCCTCTTCCGCCCTTAACCTCCTTTCCTTCTATATTTCCGGGTCCTTGATTATTTCCATTGGCCGAATCACTGCGACACGTGACAACTGGTTTTTGGTAAAAATCCTTCTGAAAAAAACAAACAAATCCCACCTCTTCTGTGTCCACTACAAACCCTCCTTGGCAGCACCAACCGGAAGAACCGGCACAACCGCTTTCCTATTGGCCATGCCTCCAATCACGCGTCGGAAAACCTGCTTCCTGATTGGTAGGTGACTGATCCACGTGACTCTCTTCACCGCCCAGCCAACCCGCGACCCTATTGGCTGGGTCTTCCGCCCCGCAACTGTCTCGGTGTAGCCTGTTCTTCAGCCGGGTTAGCGGATCGTGCAGGCCTGGAGCTCCACTGACCCGGTACGGTGTTCAATGGGAGCGCCCCGCAACGGTGCACCCTCTTCAGACTCCAGTCAGGTTTTCACCTTGTCCTTGATCCCCCAAACTCCCAAGCCCGTCGTTTCCGGGTCTGAGACGAGCTCGTGGAGAGACGAGGAGGGTGTGGCTTTTGCGGGAAGGCAAATGCGGGAAGAGCTGGATCAGGGAGTGTGGGCATTCTGACTTGACGTGGCCGGCCCTCGGTCTTCCTATCGGCCTAATGAAAAGGCGGGGGTCCAGTAATCCCCCAGTAGATAAAAAGGGAAACAGGCCCAGTCAGGGGGAACGACTGGCTCCCCATCCTTGAAAGCCCATGGAGGGGCTGTGTCAGGCACTGGTGTAGGGGTTACGTGATGGGCTGCGTTCTTCGAAGCCTGCAGTTCAAAGCCACCAGCCAGCCGCTCTGCAGGAGACAGACAGGGATTTCTACTCCCGTAAAGAGTTACCGTCTCGGAAATCCCCGGGGGCAATTCTACCCTGCCCTAGAGGCTCGCAGTGAGTTGCACCGTCTCGATGGCGGTGTTTAAGGCTCAGCCCTAGGAGCGTGGTGAGTTACAAGTCGGGCTGCAAACCACTAGGTCAGCAGTTTGAAACCACCTGCGCCTCTGCGCTAGAAAGATGAGGCTTTCAGATCCCGTAAAGATTTCGTCTCGGAAACCCAGAGCGGGCAGTTAGTTCTAATCTGCCCTCTTGAGTTGCTATGAGTCAGATTGCACTCGAAGGCGATGAGTCTTTGTGGGTTTGGGGGTCGCACGTTCGGAACCAAGAGCAGGGCCTGGGCCAAAGGGAGGAGCCAGGTGGGAGGGGCAGGCGTGGGGCGGGGCTACGCGCCAGCCCCGGAGCCGGGTCCCGGGGCGCCGCAGTCTGCACCACGGAACCGGTCCCAGCAACCGCTTCTCAGGCTGTCGTTCCGCCCCTCCTACCCTCAGCTTGGAGCCATGGCGACCCAGAGCCGCCGGCGCAGGCCACCACGGAGACCCGAAACGGTGGTGCCTGGGGAGGCGGCCGAGACGGACTCGGAGCGCTCGGCGTCCTCGTCGGAAGAGGAGGAGCTGTACCTCGGCCCCGCGGGCCCGACGCGAGGTCGCCCCACGGGCCTGCGAGTGTC